CTTTCCATTATGCTCTGGATCCCACCCGAGGGAGCTTGGGAACTCCAGCTGCAGCCATGCTGGGCCTAATTCCGGGCACTCCTCTCCCTCCCAATCTATCCTGTCCCACTCCAACCACAGACTGTGACGTGAATGATAATGACTTGCTTAGGAACAACTATCTCTATGTGGGAAACCCTGCTTTTTGCCAGACTTACCTCTTGAAATCTGTTTCTATGTTATTCTCTCAAACATGCCTTTCCTAGTCCTTACATTTAAAGCACGTGCCTTAATTGAAACCTGCCACTGGCACCAGGTGTGGTAGTATATACCTGCAATCCCAGGACCTGCCAGACGGAAGTAGGAGGATTAAGAGTTCAAGTCCAGCCGGGTGGTGGTGGCACACACCTTTGAGACAGAGGCAGGTGAATCTTTGAGTTCAAGGCTAGTCTGATCTACCGAGTGAGTTCCAGGACATCCAGGGCTACACAGAGAAAAACTCTCAGAAACAAAAAAAAAAACAACCTAACAACCAACCAACCAAACAAACAAATAAAAAAGAGTCCATATCCAGGCTGGACTACCGCAGTGAGACCCCCATCTCGCAACGAACAAAAATGATCACAAATCACTTCTATTTTAACCACACAGCAATGGTCCCAATCTAGAAATCTCTATTTATGATAACATGCTTGTCTGCCACCCTTATTAACTGTAAACTTTACAAGAGCAAAGACGAACCTCATTTAGCCTGTAGCTCCTAATGGAAGAAAAGTGCCTGGCCAAGAGTAAGTGTTCCATGTGGTGAGGACAAAGATAGGAAAAAAGTTGAGTGTGTCGGAATATGCCTGAAATCTCAGCACTCAGGAGGCTGAGGCAGGAGGATTGCTTTGCATTCTAGGCTAGTCTGGGCTTCAGCCTAAGAGACTCAAGAAACAAACACAAAACCAGAAAGCGAGGCTGGCGGTGGAACTCCAAGGTTCAGATAGGAGCGCTCAGTGCTAGCCTGCGAAGGTTTCCAGACCCTGAGTGGGCTCCTTGGAGCACTGTCTCTTGGGGGCCATGATACTTTGGAGGTTTGAAGGCAGGGTGGGTGGGTGGAGCTAGCCTTTATCTTGGAGTGCAGCCCTAGCTAGCCTCAGATGTGAGCTAGCAGGGGTTTTGCAAACCTTCCCAGTTGCAGAAGACCAGCAGTCTGTGGGACAGGTGGGTGGGGCCGAGCTTATCTCCCAAGTACAGTCCTAACCTCAGATGGTAACAAAAGGGGAGCTAGCTGAAGTTTTGCAAACCGTCCCGATTGCAGCAGTGTTTGGATGGCCTGGCCGGGGTGACCAAGCCATTAGGTGTTGGGGGGAATGATGGGGATTTTGAATTTGAGCCTTTGGATGAAGCTTAGCTTTAAGGGCACTGGGGTGGAGCCATGCTATATATGGCTTGCCTCTGCCTGCATCATAACCTGGCTTCTTTTTAGGACAAGTGAGAAGTCACAGCTCTGCAGGTGGGTCTTCCCCTGCAAGCAGGGCCTTCCCTTGCCAGGACAGAGGATCCTTCCCCTGCTCCATAAGTCACTGCTGTTGGTCATTTTAATAAAGTCAAGTTGCTGCTGTCGTTCAAATACACCCACCTTCTTTCCCCATGGAGAGAATTTCTCACCTGCCATTGGGTTTCTGAGGTCAGGCTAGGGCATACTGTGTAGGTTAGAACACTTTGAGTTTGGAGGAGGGGTTGGCTGGCTGGAGACTAGTGACTGTCCAAGGGGAGGACACAGGTCCTCGGCCCCGCTGTCTCATTCCTCTACACTAGCGTCTTCTCACAGGCTTGGAGCAGGGCAGGGGGTGGAGGTGAAGAGGCCCCTTTCCACCACAACCCCAACGGGGATCTTGCAACACTGGGCTGGGGGCCCTGGGGGCTGGGGTGAGGCAATCTCTGGGGGTTGGGAGGTGTGCGCTGAAGGGGGCCGCTTTCACAAGCGCTGCTGCCTGACCTTGGCAGACTCACCTTGGGCAGCTTCCTCCCTCGTGGTATCAGTATCTCCCCACAACCTTCCTTCTCACCGGCTTCCCCATAGCCTGAGATCGAGTCTCAGTTCAGGTTCTGCTCAAAGAAGGAAAAGTGGCCCGGAATGGACATGGGGTTGGTGGTGGGAGTGGGAGTGGGGGTGGGAGTGAGGCTGGGGGGCTTAATGTGCTGGTTTTCACGGGTTCTCAGCCTTTGGTCCTGAAGTCTTTCCAAACTCTGGCAGGGGTTGGCCAAGTGCCCCTCCCTCCATTCCTCCTGCTAGTCCTTGGACAGCCCTGAGAGGTCACTCTCAGGTCAAAGATGAAGCCAGCTAGACTCCCAGCACAGGTAGCAGTCAAGGCAGAGGGACCACAGCTATTCCTTGCTGTGGAGGGGGTATTTTCAGAGCGCCCAGCTGTACTTATCGCCTACCCTTCATCTCTCTTCCCTGCGACCATCAACCTCCTTGAAAGTTTTTAGGTTTCAACTTAAATGTCACTTCCTCCAAGAGGCCTTTAACTTTCCTAGCCGAGACAGTACCTGTTAATTTGATTTTCCCCACAGGCACATTCGAATGGGATAATGAGAATAAAAGTACTTTATAATGGTCTCCAAGGAGAGTCTTGGAAAACCACAGGAATGGCAGGTACCAGGGTTCAATAGCAGGGGAGCCGTTGCCACCTTAGGGCCCTAAGGACAGGGGAATGCTAAGAGAGAGGCCAGAAGAGAGGCTCTGTCTCTGTTCCTTTAGCCTTCTCTTTCCTACGCCCCACTGCCCCCTCACCTCCAGGCAGCCTCCTGAGAGCAGAACAGCCCATGAAGGGACAGAGAGCAGAGGGGTGGGTGGAAGGGCCGTGGAGACAGGAGGCAGGCTTGTCTATTACCTTTTCCTTCCTAGTCCTGCAGCCTAGTCCTCGGCAAAGAAGCTTGGCAGTATCTGTTGAATAATTGACTTTGATCGAAGCCAGCTAACATCGGCTCAAGAGCCGCCTGCAAGCGGCGAGACAGAGTCGGTCAGAAAAAGGAGTGGGCTGTGTTTGATTCCTCTTCACATCTCATCGGGATCTCACTGGGGAGACAGCTTCTTCAGCTTCATTGCCAATTAAAAAGACACTCTTAGGAGTGACAGGTCACTGAGGGGCTGGAAGGAGACACAGCTCAGAGCCATGGGAAAGACACTTAGACAAAGCAACTAATGCCTTCAAAAGGAGTCCAGGAGAGGGTGGGGTGGTCCTAAGTCAAGTGGAGGGAATCGGGAGACTGGGCCATCAGCTTCATTTGGTGCAGCCCCCTGTTACACATCCCAGGGGGTGAAGGCAAGGTAAGAAGATTTCCCAGGTTTCATAGAGACGGCCACCTTCACCCCTTACCCAAGCAGCATCCATCAGACCTTCCACCCAAAGGTTCAAGCCTGCCCTCCCTAAACAGAGCGTGGCTGAGGACCTGAGGGCACAGGGAGAAGAGAGGGTACTGAGACAGAAGTGGGAAGAGTTTGGGCCAAGATTAGCCTGGGGCACACTGATATCTGAGATGTCTGATAGCTTGGACCACTGAGGTCTGATGTGGAAAGGAAATCAGATCTGTGATCTATGTATGCCATGCCCATCCCCCTGCCTCAGCTCTCATCCCGTCTAGTCTCCAGCACGGTGGGACAATTCACTGCTACTCTTTTGCGGGGCTCATGGCAGAACTGAGGGTTCTGTGGATATTAGACAAGCACTCTGCCACCTCCGTCCCATCCCCAGCCCTCAGAATTCTCTCATGTGCCACATCTGCGTGCTGTTTGTCCCTGAGGGGAGGATGTGAGAGGAAAGACAAGCATCGCGTTGAGGTGGTGAAGGACTGAGTGAGCTCTTATCCCTTTTGGCCCTCCTTGCTTTTATCTACAAGATGTGGCTCACACTATCTGGCTTGTCTGAGGGCAAAGCTTGCACAGATGATCTCTTGAGGTCTCTCCTAGAACCTCTTGAGATCTGTGATTTCACAGAGCTATTTTTGATTCTGACTCTACGTAGTTCTGTGATTCTAGGAGGTCTTCTCCTTGCTCTGAGGCCCCAGGCTCCTCACCTGCAAAAAGAGAAGTTTAGAGGAGGTCTGACGTCTTTTTGTTTCTAGCAAAAATGGAGCCAGAACAAAGAGTCACGCTCACCACATGTCAAAGCCCATTTTCCTGTGAAAATAGCAAATGGGAAGGTACTGAGATTCCTCCTGTGCAGATGAGGAAACTGAGGCACTGGGAGGAGAGGGAATTGGTCCAGGATCAGATACCAATCAGTCAGAGATGCAAACTGAGACTCAATTATTGTACAGTTTTGCTTCCTGGGCTGCAGTTCTGTGGGGAAGAAAACCCCTGAAATGTGGGGGTTTCACATATTAACTGATTTCTCCCTGTGTTAGGGAATCAGTGCCCTAGGGGATGAGAGAAAGAGAGGAGCCGGGCTGTGGAACAAGACAAAAGAGACGGAGTGCTGGGTCAAGAGCTAAGGGACCATGAGTATGGCAGAGCCGTCAGGAAGTCACATGGGAAAAGAACTCCAGGCCTTAAAGTAAGGGAGCATGCCTAGGGTCAGAGGGCTCAGCACTGGAGCTGTGTAGTGCTGGGATCACCCGAACCCCAGAATTCTTTAAAGACAGCGTGCAGAGGCTGCTCCAGGCCCTGGCATGCACGGTGGTGGTACTGAGCATGCACAAAGGCCCAAGCAGGTGGAAGGACACGGAGGTGAAATGACAGGCCTGCAGCTTGGCTGGAGGGTGTGACAGAGAGATGTGGGCAGCATTTGGACATAGGGACAAGAATATGTGGACCTAGCCACATGTATGCCCAGGCCACAGACCAGTGAACAGCTCCAGCATCAAGCCACAGTGTAGTTTATTCAGCCTCAGAATCATTAAGGTCCCAACCTTCCCAGCTACTGGCTGCCATTGTCCATGATCCCTGTTTTAGGCTTGGCCTATTGAGGACTCTGGGGACCTAGGAGGGAGGGGGTCGGCAGGGTTTGGTGTCCACAGTCTGCCAGGCAGGCTCAGCTGCAGCCCCCCACGCCCTTGATAAGGCTGGCAGCCTCAGGGATCTGGCGGAAGAGGTTCCGAAGGGTGTCTAGCTCCTGGGTGAGCTGCTCCACACGGCTTCGCAGACGTTCATTTTCAGCCATGTACTCCAGCACCTTCTGCTGCGTCTCCATAATGCGCCTCTTGGCCTTGTCCCGGCTCTTGCGCACTGCTATGTTGTTGCGTTCCCGTCGCAATCGGTACTCGAGGCTGTCTTTGTTCACTGCCTTCTTGCCCTTGTGTGAGGGCCCAGCTGGGGAGGGCGCCTTGAGAAGAGGGCTGCAGGGAGGGGCAGCAGCAGCCACAGGGGCCTGGAGGGTAAGTCAGAGGGACAGAGAAGTGAGTGTCCACCAAGAGGCAGAGAAGAGGCCGAGTAGGAATCCTAGTAGCAAGCGCATACTTGGGGCTTCCAAGGAATACAGGCTCCCAGGCAGCTCCGCCATCTCCCAGACATCGCCCTGACCCTGTGAAAGACGACAACCCAGATGCACATGGTCCTGATCGGAGCTCAAAGCTTTCTTTCCTGCTCTCATATTCTCTGAGGACACTTTCCTCCGGTTTGTCTGTTGTAAGTCTCCTGTTCTACAATTCTACAATCAGCAGCATTTCCTCTTCCAGAAGCAGACAGTGGAGAAACAAGACAAGGGGTGGAGTGGACCGACAGCAGGGAAGCGGGTCCAGGCCGAGATCAGGGCAGAGCAGCTCCCACAAGGTCTTCGGGACACAGTGGAGTATGCAGAAGCGAATACACAAGAGGGAGGAAAGAAGGCCTTAAGGTGGGGAGTTTTCACAGAGGAGCACCAAACGCAGACTTCTTAGGCAAGCCCCAAGTCAGAGTCCCCTCATCCAACCGCCTTGCTCCAGCCCGCGGTGGAAAGAGGGAGAGCTGTCTTGGTCTTACCTTGAGGACGCGTAGGGGCTGGCCAGGTGCTGCCAGGCTCGGGGGAAGATGCACCGCTGTCTGCCCACAGTGTGCCACTTGGTACTGCAAGGGATTGTAGCCACCTCGGCTGGTGCCTCGGCTGCCCTCTGGCCCACGAGGCTCCTCCTTCACGGCCACAGCCCTGGGGTCGTAGCTCCCCGGGTTACCGTAAATGCCAGGCCCCAAAGCCTTCCTATCTGGGCCAAATGTATGTGACGGATAAGCAAATGGCCGAGGGTCAGCTGGCAGGTAGTGAGGGAACGAAGGGGTTCCTGGGCCCTTAAGGCTTCGGGCTTCCGGCGCCGGCTTCATGGCAAAGAGGTCAGAAAGTAGCTGTTCTTCCCCAGACTCGATGTAGGCAGAGAGGTCGATGGAGGCCTCATGCTCACACATGTCCCCCAGTTCCCCAGGCCCAGCTCGACCCCCTGAGAACTCGAGTGGCTGCTGGCCACCCCGAGACTCACACTCATAGTAGGTCCCGTGGGACATAGCCGGCCCGCCCCCTTGGCTCCCCGCCCCTGGGTTCTGTGCTGGGGCACTTCTTGGGATGCTCACCCTGTCCTCTCTTGATCTTCCCCCGACCCTAGCGTTGCCCTAGGTCTGACCTCTCTGGGCTTTTCTGTCACCCACTCCTACGTGGCTTTTCTCCTCCTCCACTGCTTCCTTTTCCTTCTGTAGTCAGTGCTTCTCCTTTCTTCCCTTTTCCCCTCTCTCCTTAGTGTGAGTCAGGGAGGGGCAGGGCACACCCCAGAGGGAGGGGTGCTTAGCAGTTAGGGCGCTCTTTGGAGAGGCCCCAGCCAAAGTCCAGAAGTTGTTGTTTGGGAAAATGTCCCCTCTTGTCCTGTGAGCCCAAGGGATTCCAACCCGTTGTTCAGGGTAGCTCCTCTGAATGTCTGTCTTCTTCCAAAGAGATCTGTGTAGAGTAAGGCACCAAGCCACAGCCAATAGAGAAAGCAGTCCTCCAATGCCAGCTTAGTCTAAACTCCTCCCTTGACACATCTTCTTCCCTGTTCCCCCCAGTCCTGAACTCCACCTACCCTGGGGTAAGTCAGTTCCTTGTGTAGCCCCACCTCCCACAGCATTCTCCTGGCCATCATTGTTTGAGGGGTTCAGGACCAAGTCACCCCTGGTCCGAGCACAGGTACACACTCATTTGTTAATTTTGAGATGGGGTCTCACTACATAGATCAGGCTGGCCTTGAACTCACGGAGTTCTGCCTGCCTTTGCCTCTAGAGTGCTGCTTTAGTAAGGGCTTTGGCTAGGACTTTGTACAGGGCTTGTGTACATGTTTCTCATCCTGGCTTCCACAGACTGCCTGGACATAGCTGAGGTTTCTGGTCAAGACATGAGCCCTGTACCTCAGGCCCAGGCAGGCTGCTGCCCTAGAACCAACAGACAGGATCTGCTGGAGGCTCCAGTTGCTTCACCTTCACTGAAAGAGACTCAGGCTGACCCCACCCCACACTGACTGGAGGCTCTGCCCCCTACTTCCTGTGCTCTGGGGAGTATGCAGGCTCTGGAGCTCACTGGAGCTCCCCTTGCTATCTTTCCTTCTGCATGACTCTTTTCTGACCTCTAGTGTGTGTCTCTCGGGTCCACTTCCTCTTGTAAGCTTGAGACGTCTTCTCTTGAGTCCTCACCTCCTCCTGGGGCTGTTTCTGGGTCTATGGGAGAAGCCCGAAACTGCTCAGCCACACCTCTTGCTGGTCTACTGATCCCCAAACTTGGTTTTTCTTTTCCCTTTGGGATTGCCTTGTGCCCTGCAGGCAGAGGCATCTGCTGCAGCTGGGCTTTTATTAAAGCTTCAGGCAGGGCTCTAAGGCTAGTAGAAAGAAAAGAATACATAGAAATGAGAAATGTGTTACTTTTTAATTTTTTAGACTGAGGCTCCCTGTTTGCCTAGGCTGGCCTTGAACTGTCAATCTTCCTGCTTTAGCCTCCCTAGAGTTGAGTTGATAGGTGTGTCATAATACCTCCTGACACTTTTATTACTAGCAGATGCTCTGGGAAGAGGGACAGAATTTTTTAATAACTTTATTTTTATTATTTTAAATTGTAGGTGTGTGCGTGCGTGTGTGTGTGCATGCGCGTGCATGCATGTGTGAATATGTGCACACTTCCAGGTGCCCAGAAGATACCAGAAAGGAAGCCAGAGATATTACATTTCCTGGAGCTGAAATTACAGACAGTTGTGAGGCACCCAATATAGGTGCTTGGAGCCAAACTCAAGTCCTCTGGAAGATAAGTAGTGCTCTTAACCACTGAGCCATCTCTCCAGCCCTAGGAACCAGAACATTTTCTAAGGTGAGTATTCCAAGGACCAGGTAACGGTGAGGGGCCAAAGCAGGGGTAAGCTTGCATAGCATACATCTGTCATTGAACACTAAAATCAAACTGCAGATGTAACTTGTCTATAAATCAGACACTGTATCCTTGATAGAACCCTCCATCCCATCCCCTCCAATGTAACAATTTGCCCCACATGCTCTGAGTGCAGCCTGAAATATGATCAGATATGTTTCCTCCAAAAGCCCTGACCAAGCAGGGGGAGGGCAACCCGTATCCTAGACGCAGAGCACCGGAAGCAGTGGGGCAGTTTCTGCTCTTTATTGTACAGGTTCCTGCCAAAAGGGTACCAAAGCTAAGAGATTTCAGTTTGGTGACCTGTCGCTATTGGCCACTAGATGACGACATTGCTTCCTAAATGCTATACTGTCGGTACTGCAACGGTCTGGAACCAGGTGGACAGCAGGGGGCAGCCTTTCTCAACCCTGCTACCAGCCCTGAAAGCTCAGGTTTGGAAAGCAGGAAAAGGAAGTTTAGGGTTGGGGATTCAGTCAGGTTATTGATAGTGTGGGAAGGCTAGGGGATTGGTGCCAGGACCTGTCTCAAAGAGAAACTATGTTCCCTCCTTGGCTGTGGAATAACGATAATGGGTGGGTCCCGTGTCATCTGATAAATTAATGCTTTATTTCAACCGATGAAACATGCTCTCTCTCTCTCTCTCTCTCTCTCTCTCTCTCTTTCTTTTTTGGTTTTTTGAGACAGGGTTTCTCTGTAGCTTTTGGAGCCTGTCCTGGAACTAGCTCTTGTAGACCAGGCTGGCCTCAAACTCACAGAGATCTACCTGCCTCTGCCTCCCGAGTGCTGGGATTAAAGGCGTGCGCCACCACAGTCTAGTGAAATATGCACTTTTTCATGCTGCCCATTTTGCTGTGAGCTGAGGAGAGGAGGCAAAACAGTATTTTTATTTTAATTCTGTCAACAAAGAAAATAAGGTGGAGAGGCTATACAAACCCCAGAGGTCGGCTGGCGGATCGCTGAAAGGGCTAGAGGCTTGTTCTTGAAATGGTTCCGGGTCAGAGGGATGGAGTAGGTGTTGCCGTGTGACTCAGGGAATCTTCTTCCGCCAAACTGGCTGCCTGGAGTAGGTGAGTAGGGGAGAGCTCCACGGAAGCACTGAATTCCCTGAGGGAGGGGTACAGATAAAGCCAGCAGGAAATGAAGAGGCTGTGTCCTGCAGCTCGCTTCCCTGTGAAAAGAGTGCTGCAGGTGTCTGGACTGTTCAGCTGGCGCTGCCTGCAGGCTGATAATAGCGTTTCCTAGTAACTAAGGCATAAGCACTAGGGGTCTAGATAGGGAAGCAGGAAAGGGGGTTGGGAAAGGAGGGAGCTCGGTAGAAACACTGGGAGGTCCTTAGGGAGGGGGGCTTCGCACGCAGCTCAGCGGGATCGTTTTCCTGTTGCTACTGCAGTTGCTACTGTGTGCATTAACTAAAACAATGGGTGTATATTATCTCAGGTAATTGTGACAGGCCAGTGGCTAAGCATAACTATGAAGTCTAAGAGGAAAATGGGCTCAAATCTGCCACTTAACAGCTCTCTGACCCTGGCTAAGCTACTAATCATACTGCAAAATGGCAGTAGTGATGCTTGCCACATGAGATTGTTCAAACTTTGCCACCTACCCAGTGAGCGCTGTCTCTTTCCCTTTTCCTGACCTCTTTACTGCTTTTATGCCTGTCCCTAGAGCTCATACTCCTGCTGGTTTGGAGGTTTCACTGACAAGCATTTTAAAAATCTGGGTTTTAAATAGCAGAAACCCATGAGGGTGTGGTGGTGGTGCATGCTTCTAATTCTAGCACTTAGAGAGGCAGAAGCAGGAGGCTCTCTATGAATTTAAGGCCAGCCTGGTTTACATAGTGAGTTTCAGGCCAGTCCAGGCTATGTAGAGAGAAAACCCTATCTCAAAAAAACCAAAATAACAACAATAACAAAACCAAATAAATTTGTATTTCTTTAACATTAATTTGTTGTTATTGGGGGGAAGGTTAAGATACGGTTTTTCTATGTAGCCTTAGCTGTCTTGGAGCTCACTCTGTAGGACAGGCTAGCCTAGAACTAACAGAGATGAAGCACAATTAATAAAAACTCAGAGAGAAATTGGGGTTCAATCTGAAGGTCAGAAAAGCAAAACAGCCAGCCATTGGCTCTTACCTCGACCTCAGTCTGAAAAAGGTGATCCTGCCTCCAGGAATCTCAGAAAGAGAATGTGTGTGAGAGCTCTCTCCTATTTTATAATCTTCTCCAGGGTTGGGATTAAAAGCACGTACTGCCTGATTTTCTATGGCAACTAGTGTGGCTCCTGGGATTAAAGGTGTGTGTCACTATTGCCTGGTCTGTAAAGCTGACCAGTGTATCTGTTTTACTCTCTGATCTTCAAGCAAGGTTTATTTATTAAAATACAAATTAAATGCCACTACATAGAGATCTGCCCGTTTATGCCTCCTGAGTACCAGGATTAAAGGCATGTTCCACCATTGCCCAGTTACATTTATTCTTTCTTTCTTTCTTTCTTTCTTTCTTTCTTTCTTTCTGTTTTTTGAGACAGGATTTCTCTGTGTAATAGCTCTGACTGACCTGGAACTCACTCTGTAGACCAGGCTGGCCTCAAACTCACAGAGATCCGCCTGCCTCTGCCTCCTGAGTGCTGGGTTTAAAACGAAATAAGCCATGTGCCACCACTGCCCGGTTTATTTAGTTTTAAACATTTGCTTTCATCTCCCTTTTGTCTTTCATTTTATTTTATGTGTATGGATGTTCTGCCTGCATGTGTGTCTGTGCACTTCCAGTGTGCAGTGCCCATGGAAGGCCAGAGGAGGGTGGTGGCTTCCCGAGAACTGAAGTTACAGAGGCTTGTGAGTTGCCACGTGGGTGCTGGGAATCAAACCTCTGTCCATTAAGAGCATCCAGTGCTCTCTTTAAAATTTTTAATAGTATTTTTATAAATATTTTTTTAAAGATTTTATTATGTATACAACAGTCTGCCTCCCTGTATGCCAGAAGAGGGCGCCAGATCTCATTACAGATGGTTTTGAGCCACCATGTGGTTGCTGGGAATTGAACTCAGGACCTTGGAAGAACAGTCAGCGCTCTTAACCGCTGAGCCATCTCCCCAGCCCTATAAATATTTTAATTTAAAGACTTTA